AAAAAACAAAATTTGAAGAATTGCAACACTATAATTCTTCCTGTTCACTTTTCCGTCATCCCATGGAAGAAAGTCACAGTGATTTGTTTTCTTACTGTTGGCCTGCTGGGGGCACAAGGGAGATGTTCGTGGGTGAGGTCCTTAGGTTAAGGGATGCGTGAGTGTAAGTCATAGCAACAGCCACAGGCAGCCCGGGGCAGAGCAGGGCGCAAGAGGGCAACGAGGCGTGCGTGCGCAGCTTGTGTCTTTGTTGCATCATGCTTGTACAGGTTGTTACCATGTTCTGACATTCTTGCGTGGTGCGCCAGCCGGCACATCCATGTTTACCTGTGCTAAGTCATGGTTACATAACTCTGTCCCACTGTGCACCTGTGCTGGAGAGTGGTGTCCTTAGACGCCCAAACTTCGAAGGACTCTGGGTGGTCACCCACTCTTACGGATAGAGGAAACTGCTCTTTGATTTTCTCTCAACTATTTTGTTGGTTGGGATGACAGAATAATATGTTTACCAGTAAAATGTAAAGTTTGATTATGAGATTGTGTTGCATTTTCATTTTGTTTATTCCTATAATTATAGGAATTGGTTGTTTTGTTTAAGGTAAGGTCTTAGCTAGGCATGGTTGTTTATGCCTATAATCCCAGCACTTGGGAGGCCGAGGCAGGAAGAATCACTGCAAATTTGAGACCAAGCCTGGGCTACAAAGTGAGCTCAAGGGCAACCTGGACTGCATAGTGAGACCCTGTCTCAAAAAGACAAAAGAAAGAAAAAAGAAAAAGACAAGTTCTTGCTATATAGTTCAGGATGGCCCTGAATTCACCATGTAGCCCAGCTACTCTCAAACTTGTGATTACCTTCCTGCTCCAGTCTCAGTAGTAGGCATGCACTATTACATCTGGCTGTAATAGTGCTCTTTCTTTCTTTCTTTCTTTCTTTCTTTCTTTCTTTCTTTCTTTCTTTCTTTCTTTCTTTCTTTTTTGAACCGAGAATTGAACTCAGGCCCTTGTGCTTGCTAGGTAAGCACTTATTCTACTGGGCTATCTTTCCGGCCCCTGTAACAGTACTGTTAACAACTTGATAATGAATCAAAACCCACTACCTGCCTAACACTTCAAAGTGGGAATAAGGGCTGGGGATATAGCTCAGTGGCATAAGCACCTTCCTGGCAAGTATAAGGTCCTGAGTGTCGCAAAATAAATAAATAAAATAAAGCAGGAATAAGATGCCTGCTAAGGAAACTGTAAATTGAGGAATTGCTATTAGTGGATTTAGGTTTGTGTATTACAGTGGTAGAAATGAAGTGGCCTCTGGTGTCTAGGAGGCTCTAGACCGTAAAATCTTTTGAGCCTGAGGTGGCAGCAAGCCTGGCCCAGGTATTGCAAGCTCATGCCATCTGGCACAGGTGGTACTTTGCGGAGGGGCGGGGCGGGGCTTTAGCCACACTGAGGTGTTGCTTGAAGGCATTGAGCAATCTGTCAAGACAGTGGCCAAGGTGCTGTTCACAGGCCGGGGAGCAGCAGGTTTTACTGATTTTTCTGGGTTGGCTAAAGCCTGGTAATTCCCAGCAGCCAGATGCATGCCTCCAAAAGACATTTCTCTTTGAGGTGGACATGAAGCACCTGGTGACCACAGCCACCTTGTCCTTGCAGCTGTTGCATTTTGTGTATCTGGTGCCATCACCTGGCCTGTGGAGCTGGGCCCTAGTGTAGGGGTGGAGCACTTCCAGTGCTTGGGCTTTGTGACTTTTTTTTTTTTTGGCGGTACCAGGGATTGAACTCAGGACCTCGAGCTTCCCTGGAAGGTGCTTATCCTACTACGCCATCTCCCCTGGCCCTGGGCTTTGTGGCTTCTGAAGAGGCACAGAGTTGGGACAGAGCAGAGCTGAGAGAAAACACAGACCTGCTCCAATGGGCAGGGGCCAGGTTACCCTGCGTCAGAGACATGGACAAAACATTTCAAAATGGTCAACAGTGCTGAGTGGGATCTGACTCAAGAGCTAAGAGGGGACAGACACAATATGGAGACAGATGCCGCGCCTAAGTCCCCCTTCAGCTGCCTCGAAGATCTCTCTGGGTTCCAGTGGAAGCTCAGTGTTCTCAGCAAGAATAGCCTTTGGAAGCTACTCGGGTGACTGTCCATCCCACATATCACCCGGCTGTGTGACCTCCAATTCATGATTTCTAAATTGACTGACAGCAAGTGAAGCTAGAGGGTTGACGTGTGTGTGTGTGTGTGTGTGTGTGTGTGTGTGTGTGTTACTAGGGATTAACACACCAATGCCACATACTGCACTATGTTCATAGCATTTTACAAATTTTTTTGAGACAAGGTCTTGCTAAGTTGTCCGGGCTAGCCTCAAATTTGGCAATTTTCCTGTCTCAGTCTCCCACGTGCTGGGATTTCAGGCATGTGCCACCACGCCTGGCTTGCATCTGTGGTTTTATCGGGATCTCAAATCAGGATTGCTGAGACACGAATGCTACAAAGGTGAGTGTGCCGTGTCTCCTAACTTGCGCTTGTCCCCAAAACGCCCTCCCAGCTGGGCATGATGGCAACACCTGGTGCAACCCTAGCGCTCCAGCTGAGGTCCAGCCTGTACTAGATAGAGAGACCCATCTCAAAACAAAACACAACACACCCTCCCCAAGGGACAGGCACCTGAGTGGCCCCATTCCAAACCCAGTCCCATCTTAGGCTCACATGCTGGGAGGCCCTCTGCTCCCCATGTGGCCATTTCTTTTAAACACACCCCACATCCACCACCTTCATATCCTGAAGACTAAATTTTAATTAAACGCACGCTGGCCTGTTGTTTCCCTCCACAGGGTCCCTGGTTAGCTCCCTGGTGAAAACAGTTATGACAGGCTCGCTCCCCGGCATACGTGAGCATCTGGTCCAGGACTTGCCACACACGGGAGCCTCATGTGCATTTGGGAAAAGCAAATAAAGGGAACGTGCTGTTTACACACCATGGAGTATTCTGCCACAAAGGAGGGCAGCCCTGCATCATCTGGAGGAAAGTACAGGCACCCTGAGGTGGATCATAACATTAGTGAAGTAGCGAGATGCACAAGATCCCACAGCGTTACTGAAGTAGCGAGATGCACAAGATCATATATATATATATATATATATATATATATAACTTAGTGCAGGGTCTACAGGTTCTCACTACCCAGATCAGACGCCTAGTAACCCCCCTGTTTTCAGCCTCCCAAGTGCTGGGATTACAGGCACGCGCCACCACAGCCAGGCTCAGTCGACGTCTCAGTGCACCTCACCCTGCGCGCGAGGGATCCAACCCTGGTCCCTGCGCCTGCCTATCTGGCTGGCCCTTACAAAATGCAATATTACATGATTTTTCAAAAATATAACAGGGGCTGGTGAGATGGCTCAGTGGCCTAAAGCACCTACTTAGAACAAGCTTAGCAAAGCACAGGGACCGCGGTTCAATCCCCCAGCACCACATGCTAGCCAGCCCCGCCCCCTGGTGGGCTGAGCTGGCCACACACACACACACACATAAATAAATAAAATTTAAAAAAAAAGAATTTCCCTCTAAGGAGTACTTTCATCGTATTCCATAAACTACAGTGAGTTGTGCTAGAATTT